AAACACAACCCGCACAGCGATTTTGAAATCGACACCCAATGCAGCACACAAATCATATTGACATGAAACCAGTTGCATATGAATCCTAAGACATGCCTCTAAAATTCTTACGAAGACATTAGAAGCAATTAATGTCATTTGGCAGGCCTTAGAACATCAAACATATGGAACGGGGATGCTGTGAAAAATCTGGAAACATGTAATGGACAGAACCTCTGTATATTCAATATAAATGGAGCTATAGACATGCTATCAAGGAAATTCCAAACACCAAAATGTAGCTAACTAAATTTTAAACAACTTTGCTGAAGACCATTTTGTCAAATAAGGGCATTATCAATAGTTTTAAGCACAAAACATTTGGGTCATAAAATCTGTCGGAACTTGGTTCAGTTTACAAACAGCACTTCGGTATTTATAGTCTAAATCATTATATAGACCTCCAATTGATCAGATTTTAAAACCAATGGATAGACTAGAAGCATACCAACAATGTTCATGAAGATCACTTTCACATTTGAGCATGTTAGAACATCACTTTCAGACCAAACATCTATATCATATACTCAGCCCGATTTTTCAAAAAACTGCTTGCATAACATTTTTTACAAAACTCACATCTCATGCTACACTCACCATATTGACATGCTTCTTACCTTGTTAGAAACCTAAGAGACAGTTCTACAACTTTCATTTAGAATGCTAAGGTAGATAAGGTCATTATAGAGGAGTAAAATCAACTAACATTTAGAACCACCTTGCTGTCTAAAAGTATCACTCACTACATGCTTATCCTACTTCTATCTAACACAAACCGAGCTACAGTAATCATATCAACATGAATTGTACCTCATCAGAAAGCTTAGAAAGAGACCTATAACGTTCATGAAGACCATATTTCTATTTGAGCACATTAAAATGCAACAAACAGGTAAAACATTCAACATAAACTTGCTGCCGGGTTTTGTTAAAAAAACTGCTCGCGCTATATTTTTGTAAAAATCATATCTCTCTCATCTTAAATCGGATTTTCAAAATTCCAAAACTCACAGAGCCACAACAGAATGATCTATATATCATATGAAGAACACAACTTCATAAGATCAGTATTTCATGCCCTTTGCAGCAACACAACAGAGGCAATATAAATCGAAATATAAGTCATTTACTACATGATCTCCCTTCAACATGGATATATCTTCATATAAACTAAAACTTAGCCACACTTTAACACATATAATAACACACCAACTAAGCTATTGGCTTGTATAAAATATAGCCTTCTTACCTTGTTCAACTAAACAAGAAAATTAAAGGAAAAAGGGGATGCTCGGTTCTCTTGGCTTTGCTTGAACTTGTGGCGTAGCTTCGGCTTTTGCCTTTGAGGGTGGAGTTTAGAACGAAATTTGCTAAGTGTTTGCTGAAGGTATAATGTCTATTCTCAGCTAGAAAGTGAGACTTATAATATCTCTCATATGGGTACAAACAAGATGTAAGAAATGGTAGGAATTGGTGGTTGAACTTCCCTACATGCACATGAGTTGTTTAGTTGACTTGGGGATATTATGCTCGACCAAATGAGTGGTTAGCTGAACAAAAGAGCATCTGATCATGTACACATGGAGTAGGGAACAAGATTTGGCCAACTATAAGGTAAGACAAAACAATTTCTTACAATAGCATTAAAAATATTATCATAGTACATGTTCTACTAAATGCTAAGGATGGTTGACATTTTTCATGTGATTTGTCTTAGCTTACTGAATTTCAAACGTGACTTTGGTTGCTAATGAGCTGGAAAAAGCTCTGGGTTATGCACATGGTGATGAGGGAATGAGGTAACAAAGTCTTACATGTGGAATAAACAATTGAAATGCACATGCTACTATCATTAACATAATTAATGGCTAACATGGATTTGACTTAGAAAAATATCCTATAAACCTACTAATATCCGCATGAAATATGGCTCAAGTATTGAAGGAGGATAAGAGAGGAAAAATAATTTTTACGGAATCAAAATCGGACTATAATTCGGCTTACGCGATTAAACCGAAAATTTAAACGGCGATCGATAAAATAAAATCGAACGAGCTATATATAATTATATTATCCACATGATAATATAATATATTATCACATAATCAAAGCTTGTAAAGTAATAAAATAAAATGTCATTAATTAAAATAATAATAATAATAATAATAATATTAATAATAGGAATAACAATAAATAGTATCAATTATAATAATTTTTATCTTTTGTTGAAGATGAAGATCCATTCTCCTTCGGATTCATCATGTAAACTTCTTTATCGCTTTGTCTAATACGTTTTGGATTGATTGGACGATCGTCGTCTTCGTCATCATCGCGGGGTTCTGGCATTCTGCCCTTTCGCTTATAATCCGCATTCTTGGAGAATCTTTGGACTTGTGGATGTCCAATTAACCGTAGTAAGGCAGAAAGTAAACCCAAACATTCATCTGTATCATGCCCAGCCGACTTGTGATATGAACAGTATTTCGTTTTATCCAGCTTTTCTTCTGGAGTTCTCACAGGTCGGGGGTCGGGAAGAATTCCCTTTCCCTTTAATTCTTCAAATATAACGGCAGCTCCAGCTGAAAAAACCGTGTGATAGCTGGATTTAACCTCCTCAAGATACTTAGCCCTTGCTTCTTGCACTTCAGGTTTCTTTGAGTCCCCGAACCGAGACCAATTTGACTTGAAAAACTTATTTTTCTTCTTTTTGGACTCTTGTCCGACTTCCGACTTGTTGAAAGAAAAATCGAAAGTTGGAACCGACATTGACTCTTCAGCAATAATATGTTGCTGAGCTCGTGCCAAAAAGTCTTGAAATGAAGTCGGCTTATTCTGATAAATACTCCAACGAAACAACGAGTTCGGTTGCAATCCAGCTATAGCCGTGACCAGCAAGGTTTCAGGATGGCATTGCTCCATATTTTGTATTCGTTCATTAAACCGAGCAATATAATCCTTAACACTTTCATTATCCTTTTGGACGATATTAGCTATAGATTCTTTTGGGATTAAGGATACTTGGGCACCGATAAAATGAGATCGGAAAGCCGTTCTCAATTGTTGCCACTTTGATATTGAACGTTGAGGTAATGAATGATACCATTTTTGAGCACGGGGTCCCAAAGTTAATGAAAACATCCGACATCTTAACGCGTCGGTTGCCCCATGAAGATCCATCCACGAGGTATATTGACCAAGATGTGCATCTGGATCCGAGGTACCATCATAAAGGCCAATATGTGGAATCTTGACTTTAGAGGGAAGTGGCTCCATTGTCAAATGAAGAGCTAAGGGAGTTTCGGCTTCCAAATATACATTTTCCGAGAGAGAACCTCTTTGTTGAGATTCTTCAGAAATATGGTGGCGGGTCTCCAACTCGGCAATTCTTTTTCTCAACACTTTCAATTCTTCTGATTCACGCCTTAAATGATTTCTTTCAATTGTATGACGTAATTCATTATTATCACGTCGAAATCGATTCCGTTCAATCGTATGACGCAAATCAGATTGTTGGTCATGCCGTGAAGTTTCCAGTAATGAACGCGCAAGATGTTGACGACGTCCAGAATGACTCTCAGCAGTAACTTCTTGTTGGACCGTTACAGGAACATGACTTCGAACAGGAACTACTCCACAATTATGCGTGATAGTATTTCGTTGTGATTCAGGTTCTTGGGGATGAGAAGTTGCATGTGATGCAGCGGGAGTATCGTGTCGCTGAACAAACGACGTTTGCTGCCTGGTTTGAAGATTTGAGACAGGAACTTGATTTGGAATCGCCACTGTTGGTCATGTTCTTGTTTGTGCCATAAAATTCGATAAATTTCTGAGAAACTCCGGGTCTTGGAATAAAACAGAATAATCTATCGGCATAGATGGCACTGTCGAATTTTCAGTTGTACGCGCAGGGTGACGATTAGTTCCAGCTTCTGGATTTCGTTCTTGTCGTCCAGAACTCGACATCATAAGTTATGCGAGACTTGGTTCATGACATTGCTTCCGAATTCGCTCAACACGTGGGAAGCCGTATACGAGAAGTTCATGGGCAAGTATTATCCAAGAGAAGTTGGGGTGATTCCTCCACCCGGCATTGTAGGTGTTCGAATATGGATCATTTTGAGCTCGAGGGGCATACCCTTGCACGGCATTGACATCAAAAGGGACCGTCGCAACATTCGGGTCGTAAACCGGCTCCATATAACGTGGACACTCATGGCCTCCATGCCCCGTCTCTCCACAACAACCACACACCTCAGCCATAACTACTTGAGTCGACTTAGCATCACGTAGACGAAGGTGTTTGAGCTCCTCCTCCAATGAGGCTAACTTAGCCAACACGGCATCATTAGTCGACCCGGACAATTGTGTAGCCTCATTCACGGGAGCTCTCTTGCGTACACTCTTCCGTTGGGAGTTCTCGCTCAACATTTCATACAACTCATAGATCTCTTCGGCCGTGTGACTACCGATATCTCCCCCGGCCGCATGGTCTACCATGTATTGGAGGGTTTGATAGAGCCTATCATAGAAGAATTGATTCAACACGCCCAAGCAAAAATGATGATGTGGGCATTGGAGTTGATAGCCCTTGAACCGCTCCCATGCTTCGTGAAAGGTTTCGCCCGGGTTTTGGCTAAAGCTAGCCATTTGTGCTCGGAGATCGGTTGTCTTTTGATGATAAAATCATTATACGGTATTAAATTTCGGACATGAACGTGAAACATAAGATAGAATAATACATTAAATGAAATAACAAAACGAAGTATACGGGTACAAACTTTTTATATCTTTTCATAAGTATTAAGTAGTAAACTAAATATTATATATATTCATCAAGTATTGTAACTTTTTCTATAAGTATTTTTAGAAGTGTGACGTCTAAGTGTTTTTGCATGTGAACTCACATATTGTAAAATTTTGAGTGACTGCTTCTGTAGTTTTTGAAAAATTTTAAACTAGGTATGGAGATTCTAGTCCGATTTTCCCACAGTTTAAACAAGGATTTCATCACGTACAAGATCAAGAAGGGAGTTACTTCCGTTTATACTTTGTGTCCTTATGTAACATTTTTGTCGCAAGGGCACAACATAAGTATTTATAGTTGTGCAAATTTTTTAACTTCTTGTTTTCAATATTAATTTCCTGCTTATTAGTATTCTTGCTTCAATTTTCATGTATTCGATTGTTTGTTCGCGTGTTTTTTTTTTTTTTTTTTNTACGTTTCATTTGATAATATAGATTCATATTTTATGTTGATAAGTTATTTATCACCATACTTCATGTAACAATGTCACATTGCATGTTTTCTGCATATCAGGACCTTTAATTCTTCAAACTCGATCATTATTGATTACTAGTTATGAAAAATTATTGTAATTTTTATTTCCCGTTCTCTAAGTAACTCCACTCGGTGAACACCGAGTGGATGCAGAGCCAAGAGGTGATTCTGTAGATGAAACACTCCATTTCTGCTACTCGTACATGTATTTACCAAAGAAAATAGCAACATATATGCTCATTTCAATGTATTCATATTATCGTGGGAACTTTTATGCATTCACCGACAACTATAGCGATTTGGTACCTGTTTGTTAAATATCAAGTGGTATTTCACTTGGCACACGATGGCGGCCACACTTCCTTTTGACTTAAAGTCTCTAGAGGTAAGCATATCAAGTGACAAGCGTGGTTATTCTCAGAGTTGTTCGGTAAGGGAACAAACAAATAAATCAGAAAGAAAAATATTTTCCAGATCAAATACTAAATATCGTGTCACATAATGTTCAAAACAAAGTATGATGAGCAATGCGCATTGCAAGTTCGCAACTCAGCAAGTACCCAATTGTATTTTGTTATTCTATCTGTTCTGGAAAGACATAATTAATAAAAATGATAGAACACAACATCCGTTGTCGCTTTTGATTTTTTCCAATGATGAACCTATTTCAAGTAGTATTTACTCAAGTCTCATAGTGTTGAGCTTCTTAAAGGTGTTATTATTGAATTGTTATGAAATAGGGTGATCAACTGCAGCTATCAGAATTCCCACTAACCATAATCCAAAATAAGTACACTGATAACCAATCTACACCTAAGGACTAGAGGTGGTTGTTTATAATATATGCATGCACAACCCTGATACAATCGTATCAATTTATTAAACATTCCAACCCCTCTAAACGAAAATTTCAGCTGGACTCAAATTTTATTAATTGGAGATGAAAAATGAGACCTAACCAAGTACAAAAGCACATATCAAATTGAAAGTATCCGACCAGAGGGAGACTCAAGAAACCAAGTTCCACCATTACCAGATGTACCTAAAGCACATAGCCATATCATAAGTGTTTTTATCTTTGATGAAATGAA